CCCACGACAACCCCCCCCCCCCCCCCCCCCGCTCCCCCACTGGGGAGCGCTGTCCTGATGACTGATACAACAGGTGCTGGTGGGTCCTGAACACCAGGACTACAGTAGGTGAGGAAGAGGAGGGAAAAAACTGATTTAAAAGGTCAATATACAAACAAAACAGGATGAAGACGTAGATTAAAAATGGAAAATGGAGCAGCGAGAGGGGAGAGGGTGAAGGGGAGTCACAGATGAGAGGGCACCGGGGGAGGAAAGAAAAATGGATTATGAATGGTGAGAGGAAGATACACGGACGACGAGGTGGATGGATGCTTCAAAACAAGGGAGGAAAGAAAAAAATAGGAATAGTGATAAAGAGGCTGAGTGAAAAAGATAAAGAGAACGAGGAGGAGAGCGTCATCGTGAAGTGATACGTTTTCATCTCAGTGTCTGGACGGCAGACGGTAACCTGGCCAGGCTCAAGCTGTCTGTGTGTGTGTGTGTGTGTGTGTGTGTGTGTTCATCAGGCTAAATGACACTCATCCTTTCTCATTCAGTTATGAAATCAAACCAGGTGATACTTTTTTTTTTTTTAAATGTCTGCCCTTTGTGCCTTTGCATCTGCAACACATCCATCTGCTCCTCTGCAGGAGAAAAGGTGGAAGACAGAAGAGGAGCAGAGGAGACGGGGGAGGGAGAGATAAATGGATGTGAAGCAAGGGAGGGAGGGAGGGAGGGAGGAGAGAAGGAAGAGTGGAGGTTTCAGAGGTTGTCGGGTTCATGCGTGGATGGAGGGATGGATGTTGACGGGTCGAATACCAAGACCTGAGCAACTTTGAGTAAACACGGAGGATGGATGATGGAGGAGGGGGTACATGGTGCATCTGGGAGTCTGGTGGAGCGGGGAGAAGAGGAGGAAGAGGAGGGAAAGAAGGAGAAAGAGAGGAAAGACGGGAAAAAGAAAAGGAACGAGACGAGGGCAGAAAGCAGGAGAGTCGTGACTGTAGTTTGATTTACGGAGGCTTTCCTTTTAATGAAATTGTTTCAGTGACAGAGCCGGTAAAAGGCCCTTAATGGATTGGCTGGCCTAATGTAATGAAATTACTCCCTCTTGGACTACAGAGAGAGAGAGAGAGAGAGAGAGAGGGGAAAGAAGAATAAAAGAGAGAGGGCATGAGCAGGAGGAGGAGGGGGTTGGAGAGAAGAAAATGCAATTAATATTTACAGAAGAGACAAGCAGGGTGGGCTTTAGTAGCTATGGCTTGCTCGCTCTCTTCTTCAGTGCGTCTACCTCTCTCGCTCCTCTCTCTCCTGGTGGCCAGTGTGTGCTGGGCGTACGGTGAGGAAGGGAGGTGATAGGCTGATGCCAGACAGGCCACTTCAGCACACTGGGCTCCTCTCCCTTTGCACTCCTCTTTTCCTGAGCTCCTCTCCTCGGGGCTGCTCACATCAGCGCTGAGGTGAGAGACTTAACCTGAGCTGGGTTTCCCCTTGAGTGTGTCAGTGTGTTAGTGTGTGTCAGTGTGTGTCAGTGTGTGTGTGTGTGAGAGAGAGAGAAAGAGAGAGAGAGAGGAAGAGAGAGAGAGAAAGTGAGTTGATGCCAGAGAGTCCTACCTGCGATCAGAGTTATCACCTCACACACTCCCCCTCTCACTCACACTCTTTTACGGACCCCCTGTCTTTTGTTAGTCCCTCCCCCAGATGAGGACCTTGCTGACTTACGTCTGATTCCCTCTCATCTCTGTCTCCTCGTCTGTGTGTGTGTCTCTGTGTGTGTGGTGCAGGCAACTGGACAGCAACCACATCAGCTGCATCGAAGATGGAGCGTTCCGAGCACTGCGCGATCTGGAGATACTGTAAGTAGAGGGGAAAAACCCCGCTTCTGCTCTCCCTCTCTCCTCCTCCTCCTCCTCCTCCTCCTCCCCTGCTCCATGTGCCGTCTGTGGAGCCACAGTCTCTCCTGCGCCGTTCTCTCCTTCCTCACTCTCCCTTTTGTGCTTCTCCATCCTCTAAGTGCACCTCAAACCTCTTTCTCTCTCTCCTCTAATGTTGCCGCTCATTGTTCCTCATCATCTCCCCTTCTTCCTCCTCCTTCTACTTTTCCTTCCTTCCTTCCGTCTGTTCCCATCTGCTCCTGCCGTCTCTGTCTCTGTCTCCAGATAGAAAGTCAAAGCTAAAAGGTCTTTCTTTGGATAGTTTCCATGTGAATCCTCCGTCACACTGAAATACTACTGATAGTGAGCGTGCGTCGGTGGCGAGGACAAACCTGTTCAGCCTCCAGTGAATGTGTAGTGAATGTGTTGTCCTTGACTTGTAGTGCATTCACACACACACACACACACACACACCAAAAGACAAGGACTGACGGGAAAAAAAGTCTTTCTGCCACCTGCTGTGGTTATTGCATTTCTCTGCACCAGGTGTGTGTGTGTGTGTGTGTGTGTGTGTGTGTTTGCATATAGAGAGATGATAATGCTCTTGTGTGTTTGATCCAGCTGTGAATCCGATTGTCTGAGTGTAGCAGTGTGTGTGTGTGTGTGTCTGTCTATCTCGTATACGTCTACGTTGTTGAAGCTGCTCATTTGTCACTGCGCTCCAGAGGTGCGACCGTCATCTGTGTGTTCTGTTGGGAAAGGTTCACACTCACACATGCACATTTCTTTTCTTTTTTTTTTGTGCAACAGCTGTCTTTTATTATTATTATTATTATTATTATTGGCCACAGTGTTACGGATCAACTGCTCCTCGTGTGGACAAAGAAGGCAGCACAGGTTGATTAAGATTTGCCTTGACTTGGCACATTCACTGCATTTTGGTAATTAAGTCTTTCTGCTGTGTGGAGATGACAGGCTCGGCTGCTGAATGTGGTTATTAGAGAGCACTGCTGCTCTGAATAGAACAGAGAGGCACACAAGGACAAGCAGAACGCACGGAGAACAAGAGTCAGAGGAGAAAGGAGTGATGGAGGAGAGAGAGAGAGAGAGAGAGAGAGAGAGAGACGGCAGATCAGATCTCGTCTCAACGTCTGTCAGATCAGGCTTTGAAGCTGCTGTAGTCTCAGTCCTAACAGAGGACACCTGTAATACTGAGTCACTTGTAGCTAATGCAGCAGCAGTGGCTTCACTCAGGAAATAGACCTCAACGGTTGTAGGCATTGTGACACCTATTGTGATATTAACTTTATGTGAAATTAGCCAAATTTTTTTTTTTTTTATTGTGATATTAACTTTATGTGAAATGAGCCAAATGATCTCTCTCTCTCTCTCTCTCTCTCTCTCTATCTATCTATCTCTCTATCTATCTATCTATCTATCTATCTATCTATCTATCTATCTATCTATCTATCTATCTATCTATCTATCTATCTATCTATCTATCTATCTATCGCTGCTTGCTGCTTTCAGAGCAACAGAATAAGATCAAGGCCAAATTAAATATCCTACTTTCTATTTTGCTATTTGTGAATTCAAATGTGTAGTTCCAACTACAGTGCAAAAATTAAGTCAGAAAATATTTGAAAAGGAATCTTATTTTTATGAACATTTAAATCAATGTTGGAAATATTCAACTGTAATAATGACATAATGACAGATTATACTACGAGGTAGAAGGTCAATATTTGAAACCAAAGTTGAAGCAATTTCATTTCAAGAAGTGAAATTTCAAGGAAGAAACTGTCAGCAACAAAGTTACAAATGTTTTTTAGAAACAATAAAAAAAAATACTTATATATAAATAATACACAGGGACAGAAATTCAGACCTGTTAAACCATTAGGGACATTTATTTAAGATTTTTTTAAAAATTTACTTAAGATGTCTTCCCAGGCAAAAACCTTGGTAGATTTTGTAAGATAGATCTTACATTATAAAATTTTGAATTTTTTTTGGCATATATTTGAATATAGTCGCATATATTTGAATATAGTCGCTCACATATATTTGAATATAGTCGCTCACAATAAACATTAACAAAATATTTTATAATTTTTTATAACACAGATTGAAAAACATGAGTACGTTTTTTCCAATAAAATCTTGAAAAGTAATTTCTTACAATTAAATATACATATTTTTGTGCTGGAAAATGTTCAGATTTCATCAGGAACAGGTTGATTTCCCAGCTCTCAGTCAGCCCGTCATGTCATATCTCTGTTTTATTCCTTTGAGGTAAAGTTAGTGCTCTTGGATTGGCCCGCCTCAGTTTTGGCTCAGTGGAAGTGTTGGTGGGGGGCGAGGG